TATAAAATGATGAAAAGCAGGAATGTAAATAAATGAAAAAAAATCTATTCTTGGCCCAATATGTACGCATTTTTCTTAAAAAAAAAACCTTCATTTTCAATATAAGAAAATTAAAAACATTTTTAATGCAGAAAACGATTAAAAGTTAACTTCAATGTTATTTGTTTTGTGATTGTTCAACTATTCAGTGAGTATACTTTTTATTTTCGTCAATCGGAAATACAAATAACATTTTAAAAAAAATAAAAAAGTAAATGTAATAAAGGAAAGTATTATTATTGTAGTAGCAATTTTATTGCAGTTTCATTAATAGATTACGTACATATTGTTGCTCAACGGAAACCGCGAGAAGGTGGTGATCTCTTCCATCAAAAAAATGTTTGTCACAACACAACGTGTTGTATTTTCAAAGAATGAATGTAGAAGAAAAGAATAGAGAGTAGAGACAGAATAATAGAAAGGATAGATGGAAAGAAAAGAGATAGGAAAAATATAGAAAGAAATTGAAGGATAAAAAGAAAAATAGAAGGAAAGAAGAAATAGAATATAAAAGAATAGAAACAAGAGAGATAGGACGATAGAAAGATAGAAAGATAAAAAGATAGAAAATACGTCCAATCCTTCCCAATTGAACGATTCAATTTTCCTCTTTTTTTCGTATAGCTTTTTCTTTTAATTTTTAGTGGGCAGAAAGATTGTATCGTAATAGATATCCATTTAGACATCCAAATGCAATGCAGATAAGAAGTTTATTACGAAAGCGTAGAAGAATCCGTAAGAGAAACCGCAAGCAAATAAATGCTGAAGATGACATTAATGATCCGCGTGTATTAGCAGTGCTAGCAATGATAAACTTGAATCCTCATATTTTGACTAGAGAACTGCAACGTAATTTAGAAATTCCTTATGTCACTGTGTGAAAGATTTTACAAAGACATAAATTCCATCACTACCATATCATTTTAACCCAAGATGTAAGTGAAAATGATATGAGGCTAAGACAATTTTGAGCATTACGAATGATAAGAGAAGATCCAACTTTTTTCTAGTATACTCTAGTATATATTTTCTAGTATATTCTTTTCAGTAACAAAGCTTAATTTCATAATAATGAACAACTCAACAAGCATAACTATCATTATTGGTCCACATACAATTCTCACTGGACTCAACGTGTTGATAATCAACATCGTTGGAGTTTAAACACTTGATACGGAATTGTAAATGAATATTTGATTGATCCATACTTTTTTGATAACTGCTTAAATGGGGAAACTTACCTTTCTTTCTTGCAGAATAAATTGCCTGAGCTTTTAGAAGATGTTGATCTTGCTATTAGACAAAAAATGTGGTGGCAGCAAGATGGTGCGCCACCACATTCTCATCGTATTGTGACGGAATACCTCAATAACATCTTTCAAGAAAAATGGATAGGGAGGTATGGATATATTCGATAGCCTTCACGGTCTCCTGATTTAACTTCGTGTGATTCTTTTTGTGAGGCTACATAAAAAATATTATTTAGAAAACTTACGCCGACATTTGAAGGAGACATGAAAAATCGAATAATTAATGTTTGTCGTAGCATTCCTCAAAATATTTTAATTTCAATAATAGAAAATTTTAAGAAACGATTGAGACTATGTCTGCAAGAAAATGGAGCTCCATTTGAACATCTCATCAACGGCTAAAAACATATTCGAATTGATCTTGTCTCAGTTAGCCGGATCAGTGATCGGTCTTGTCTTAGTTGGTCGAATCGATCTTACCTTATAACTTAACAAGTACTTAAGGAAAAGTAACTTTATTATAGTGTTTTGGAAAGCTCTCGAGATAAGCTACAAGAATATGTAATAAAAAAATAGGGATTTCCATTTAAAAAACATTAATGACTTTGATCTGATTTTGACAAAGTCATTCGAGGTCAAGTCCACATTTCCATCATGTGTTCCCCTTCAAGCCATGCAACTTTCGTTCGAAAAATTTTTCAATAAAATCATCAATTCGCGAGATAATCGATCATATCACTTAAAATAAAATACCCTGTGTATATATATATATATATATATATATATATATATAATTTAACTTTATTTAAATTAATAATAGTAGTTAATTAGTTGTGTGTGTGTGTGTGTGTGTGTCGTGTGTGTGTGTGTGTGTGTGTGTGTGTGTGTGTGCGTGTGTGCGCGCGCGGAGAGCAGGCGTAGCACGAAAAATCGTGCTTTAGCTATCACTTGAGAAGAAAAAAGGATAAGAAGCAACAAAAAGAGACAGACAGAGAAAGAGTCAGCAATACAGCTGTCCTCTTCCACTGCTAGTGTAAGTAGCTCCTGATGCTAGTCGAAGTGGCGCGACTCGTCGTGAGCACACGTACACGGGCTACTCGCTTGTGTGGCATGATGTAAACTTCCCGAATTTGGCAGCTGTAATTAGCATTACTGATGAACGGTGATCCACTCGGCGCTGCCCTCGTATCGATTTCTGATTAGATCGTTCCTTGCCAACGCGGTAGTCAAACGGTTGTCAGGGAGGTAATTGAATAGAGTCGGCGACGCGGCGCGCTAATTTCAACTTGCGGTGCAGCGAAATACGATATTATTAAAAAGAAGTGTATTAAAGTTCTTGTTATCATTGTGAATAATAATGTGTGTTCCTACGTTTTTTTAAAACTGTCTCTTCCTTCCTTGGCGCAAGTATTTCGTATGAGAACTCGCCACGAGCGTGACAATACGATGTTTATAAGATCTATGTCAGGAGTATGATGTTAATTATATTGATCAGACAAAACGCAATTAAAGAATAAAATCAATGAAGACATTAAAGATGTTAAAAAAGAAATAGTTCTCCTTCGTTGGTCTCTAACCATCGACTTGAGAAAAATTATGAATTTAATTAGAGTAATGTATAAATCCTTGACACTGAACCTTCCTTTGGAAAAATGATCTGAAATAATCTATATTAAAAAACAGCATCCCGGCCTAAATAAATAGGGCAACACAAATCTTTTACCAGACAGTTATCTACTGGTTCTCAACACTTGCTATCCCTCACGTAACATTTCCATAATTTCCTATTATTGTTACTTTTAGCTTCACTATGTTAAATTCTCTCCTTTTTATCACTTTCTACTTCCTTATTTTCCTTATTTTATTTCACGCAATAACTCTTCTTTACCTTTGGTGATGTCGATTTCTCATAATCGTCCCTCGGTGTCGGAATGACTGTATTGTTTTATAGATATGCAAAATTTCCATTACATTAAATTTGATTTATTATTTGATATATTTACAATTTTAATGTTTTAGTTAATCTTTCCTTTTATCCATTGGTTTGTTGTAACTGTTTTTATTTATTTTTATTTATTTTTATATTTAATTCATCTTAAATTTGTTTAATTTATTTTTTATTTTATTTTCATATTATTTATCTTCAATTTATCTTTATTTTATTCCACATTTAATTCAAAGAAGAATTGAGGAATACGATCCTTTTATATATTTCTTTGTTCCTTGATAATGTTTGATTGAATTTATTGTTCAAATAATATGCATGAGATGTTTATTTATTTTACAGTTACTATTAATCATAATTTGCTCAGGACATGGTCATAAGGAATATGACGTTTCATAAATATTTTGTAAAATTGACAAGCATATGAACAGTATATATAGCTTAAGAATTAAAGTTAAAAATGTTTTAAGATTTAATATCACATTCGTTTATTACATTAATGTAAATATTGTCAATTATGACACAAGTTTTTTGTATTCATATCTGTATTCATATCTGTTTTTTATATTCTTTTAGATTTTTTTAAATTTTTATTGATTTAATTATTTTATGAAATATTGAAGATATTGAAAACCAAATGTTAAAGTTGATATCTTTGTCTCAAGATTTTGATTAAAATTTAATTTTGAGCATGAAGATCTTGCCTGGGTTTTACGCTTTTTTGTTGCACTTGTATAATAAAGTTGTTTTTCATTAAGTATTTTCCAAATTAAAGCTTGAATTTGACATACAATTTAATCCCTTCACAGTGTATGTAGCATATATGCACATAAAAAGAGCCGATATATCTTTTAGTGATTTGTAAAACTTAATATTCTATAATTTTTGAATTCGAATATAATATCAAAATTTCAAAATTCAAAATATATCCAATATGGTGGATCAAAATTTAGAAAAAAATTGAATTTTCATAAAAATGATTATTTTGAGATTTTCATGGCTGCTGAATCCAAATATGACATATCAATTTAAAAAATTCAAAATGATGGATTCAATATAATAAATAAAACAAAAGTTAAAATAAAAAAAATGTTGGATAAAAGTTAAAAAAAAAAATAGCTGAATACTCCAATATTGAAGTCGCTAAATCAAAATATATCAGAATTTTGTTCTTCTAAATAGTAGATCAAAATTAGCTAAAAAGAATCATTTGAAAATAATAATTCATTTAAACTTTATAATATAATT